CAGACAGTATCTGGTGTGACAACCATTTGCCTCATGCAGTGCGACACATCTCCTTCGCATAGAGTTGATCAGGCTGTTGAATGTGGCCTGTGGAATGTTGTCCCACTCCTCTTCAATGGCTGTACGAAGTTGCTGGATATTGTCGGGAACTGGAACACGCTGTCGTACACGTCGATCCAGAGCATCCCAAACATGCTCAACGGGTGACATGTCTGGTGAGTACGCAGGCCATGGAAGAACTGGGACATTTTCAGCTCCCAGGAATTGTGTACAGATCCTTGTGATCATGTTAAAACATAAGGTTATGGCAGCTGATGAATGGCACAACAATGGGCCTCAGGATCTTGTCACGATATCTCTGTGCATTCAAATTGCCATCGATAAAATGCAATTGTGTTCGTTGTCCGTAGCTTATGCCTGCCCATACCATAACCCCACCGCCACCATGGGGCACTCTGTTCACAACATTGACATCAGCAAACCGCTCACCCACACGACGCCGTACACGTGGTCTGCGGTTGAAACCGGGATTCATCTGTGAAGAGCACACTTCTCCAGCATGCCAGTGGTCATTGAAGGTGAGCAGTTGCCCACTGAAGTCGGTTACGACGCCCCCGAACTACAGTCAGGTCAAGACCCTGGTGAGGACGATGTGCACGCAGATGTGCTTCCCTGAGACGGTTCCTGACAGTTTGTGCAGAAATTCTTCAGTTGTGCAAACCCACAGTTTCATCAGCTGTCCGGGTGTCTGGTCTCAGACGATCTCGCAGGTTATGAAGCCGGATGTGGAGGTCCTGGGCTGGCGTGGTTACACGTGGTCTGCGGTTGTGAGGCCAGTTGAACGTACTGCCAAAATTCTCTAAAATGACGTTGGGGGCGGCTTATGGTAGAGAAATGAACATTCCATTTTCTGGCAACACCTCTTGTGGACATTCCTGCAGTCAGCATGCCAATTGCACGCTCCCTCAAAACTTGAGACATCTGTGGTATTGTGTTGTGTGACAAACTGCACATTTTAGAGTGGCCTTTTATTGTCCCCAGCACAAGGTGCACCTGTAAAATGATCATGTTGTTTAATTAGCTTCTTGATATGCCACAGCTGTCAGGTGGATGGATTATCTTGGCAAAGGAGAAATGCTCACTAAAAGGAATGTAAACACATTTGTGCACAACACTTTTGAGAAAAAAGCTTTTTGTGCATATGGAAAATTGCTGGTATCTTTTATTTCAGCTCAGGAAACATAGAACCAACACTTTACATGTTGCGTTTATATTTTTGTTCAGTGTATATACTCATTGTCCACCAGGGAGGGAGTCTTGTGCTGCTTTTAGACAAACATGAAACCCCCCCTAGAATCTTACAGAAATCGAATGGGTTTCTATAGGAACCACATTATGTAAACAGTGGAGATGGAACACAAACATCTACAGCTATGGGTGGCCCAGAATCCTGAATATGTGTATCTATGCCTGTGCACGTTGTGCACGACCACCTTCAAATAATCAGGCCTGGGCAATGGGCATATAAAGAGGATACTTTTGAAAGTAGTTGGGATACTGTAACACTCTGGCTCCGGGACTTTTGGATTTGAGCCAGGGTGTATTTGTTTTGTTGGGTATTTGTTGTGGGGTTGGTTGTAAGGGTGTATTCGGTTGGTTGTGTTTTGGGTGTGTTAATTGTGGTGTCGTGTGACTCCCAATCGGAGGTAACGAGTGTCAGCTGTCGGCTCGTTATCTCTGATTGGGAGCCATATTTAATCTGAATATTTTCCTGTGGGCATTGTGGGTTTTTGTTCCGTTTCTGTCAGTTTAGCAGAGGACTTCACGAATCGTCGTTTGTTTTGTATTTACGTGCTTTACTCTATTAAAGTCATCATGTTCACTCAACGCGCTGCGCTTTGGTCCGTTCATTCAGCAGACGATCGTGACAGAAAAACCCACCATCAAAGGACCAAGCAGCGTGTCAAGCGGCAACAGGACCCAGCTCCAAAGGCTTCCTGGACATGGGAGGAGATTTTGGACGGAAAGGGGTCCTGGACTTGGGAGGAGATCCTGGATGGGATGGATCGCCGTCCATGGAGCGAGACGGTGGAGAGGCGACGGCGAGAGGAGCAACGGCGTCAGCAGGGCCATCGTCGGAAGGACGAGAGGCAACCCCAAAAAGTTTTTTGGGGGGGGCACATGGCTTGGGCGGCTGGGCAGCAGGAGGCTGCCACAGGGCTGACGGAGGCAGAGAAGGGGCGAATTCAAGAGGCAACCAGGTTACGGGGGTCACTGGCCAAAGTAGGGAAAGGAGATGTAGGGGCACGGCGAGTGGTACTGGGGTGTATTACCAGTCCGGTCCGGCCCGTTCCAGTTCCCGGGGTAGAGCCAGTGGTGTGTGCCTCCAGTACGGTCCGGCCTGTTACGACCCCTCGCACCAAGGATACGGTGCGCTTCGCCAGCCCGGCCCGGCCTGTTCCGGCCACTCGCACCAGGGATACGGTGCGCTTCGCCAGCCCAGCCCGGCCTGTTCCGGCCACTCGCACCAGGGATACGGTGCGCTTCGCCAGCCCGGCCTGTTCCGGCCACTCGCACCAGGGATACGGTGCGCGTCGCCAGCCCTTTCCCACCAGTGCCTACACCACGCCCCAAGCCTCCTGTGTGTCTCCCGAGTCCTGTGCGTCCTGTTGCTGCTCTCCGCACTAGCCCTTATGTGCGTTCCCAGGGTCCAGCATGCCCTGTTGCTTCTCCCCGCACTAGCCCTGAGATGCGTGTCCTCAGCCCGGTACCTCCAGTTCCGGCACCACGCATCAGGCCTACGGTGCGTCCCCAGGGCCAAGCATGCCCTGTTGCTTCTCCCCGCACTAGCCCTGAGATGCGTGTCCTCAGCCCGGTACCTCCTGTTCCGGCACCACGCACCAGGCCTACGATGCGCCTCAAACGGCCAGAGTCTGCCGTCTGCCCAACGGGGCCTGAACTGTCCGTCTGCCCAACGGGGCCTGAACTGGCCGTCTGCCCAAAGCCTGCAAAGCCGCCCGTCTGCCATGAGCCATCAGAGCCGTCCGCCAGACCAGAGCCGCTAGAGCCTTCCGCCAGACAGGATCAGCCAGAGCCTTCCGCCAGACAGGATCAGCCAGAGCCTTCTGCCAGACAGGATCAGCCAGAGCCTTCAGCCAGCCATGAGCAGCCAGATCCGTCAGCCAGCCATGAGCAGCCAGAGCCGTCGGCCAGCCATGAGCAGCCAGATCCGTCGGCCAGCCATGAGCAGCCAGATCCGTCAGCCAGCCATGAGCAGCCAGATCCGTCAGCCAGCCATGAGCAGCCAGATCCGTCGGCCAGCCATGAGCAGCCAGATCCGTCGGCCAGCCATGAGCAGCCAGATCCGTCGGCCAGCCATGAGCAGCCAGATCCGTCGGCCAGCCATGAGCAGCCAGATCCGTCAGCCAGCCATGAGCAGCCAGATCCTTCAGCCTGCCATGAGCCGTCCAGCCAGGATCCGCCAGAGCCAGCCAGCCAGGATCCGCCTCTTAGTCCGGTGCTGCCCCTTAGCCAGGTGCTGTCCCTTAGCCCGGTGCTGCCCCTAAATCCAGGTGGAGTAAGTTGGAGGGTGGTCATGTGGAGGAGGCTAGGGAAGCGGGTGGTGACTAAGGTGGGGTGGGGACCACGACCAGGGCCAGAACCGCCACCGTGGACAGACGCCCACCCAGACCCTCCCCGAGACTGTATGCTGGTGCGCCCGGAGTGCGCACCTTTAGGGGGGGGTACTGTAACACTCTGGCTCCGGGACTTTTGGATTTGAGCCAGGGTGTATTTGTTTTGTTGGGTATTTGTTGTGGGGTTGGTTGTAAGGGTGTATTCGGTTGGTTGTGTTTTGGGTGTGTTAATTGTGGTGTCGTGTGACTCCCAATCGGAGGTAACGAGTGTCAGCTGTCGGCTCGTTATCTCTGATTGGGAGCCATATTTAATCTGAATATTTTCCTGTGGGCATTGTGGGGTTTTTGTTCCGTTTCTGTCAGTTTAGCAGAGGACTTCACGAATCGTCGTTTGTTTTGTATTTACGTGCTTTACTCTATTAAAGTCATCATGTTCACTCAACGCGCTGCGCTTTGGTCCGTTCATTCAGCAGACGATCGTGACAGATACTTCAGGATTTTGGCAATGAGGCCCTTTATTTACTTCCCCGGAGTCAGATTAACTTGTGGATACCATTTTTATGTCTATGTGTATTTTGAAGGAAGTTAGCGCTTGTACAATTGCAAACTAGCTTTAGCACAATGACTGGAAGTCTATGGTATCTGCTTGGAAGTCTATGGTATCTGCTAGCATACCATTGACTTCCAGTCATTGCGCTAACGTTAGTTAACGTTGGCTCACGAATGGTATCCATTAGTTCATCTGACTCTGGTGAAGTAGATCAAGGGCCTCATTGCCAAAATCCCGAAATATCCCTTTGAGATAGTTGGGTTTGTGCTGACATGTTAACTCCTAAGTAGCAAGTGGTAGAACAAGTCTATCTGTGTTTCCCTCAGAATGTTGTAATAACCTGATTCATTATTGGTGAAAAGCAATTGCTTGGTGTGCATTACACAAACTAAAACTATCATCCCTGCTCCTAACCCTGTCCCCCACCTCAGATCCTGCAGCAGGTGTGGCCGTTTGTGGGTCAGTATCTGGAAAAGCTACTAGTGGAGACCATCGCTCCCTCCATCCGTGCCTCCAGCACTCACCTCCAGACCCTCACCTTCACCAAGGTGGACTTTGGGGACAAGGTAACTTCTAAGATATAATTTTGCCATAAACACACTGCTGCAGGTCTCATCATACGGATACACAGTGACACTGTTTAAACACTGCACAATATTTTATTTCACTCTCACTGAAGTGAACATGGGACTTCAGACATATTGGTCTATGGCCTTTTATAATTGTATAATTATAATTATAATTTTACAAACAAGTGTTATTTTTGGTGTATATTATGTTCTGTATGTAACTATGCTGTGTGTGTGCTGTAGGCCATGAAGGTGGTGGGTGTGAAAGCACACACAGAGAATGAGAGTGGACAAGTCATGCTGGACGTGTACATCAGGTGACATTCAATTCTTCCATGTTTAACTTTCCTCCAGGCCTCAAAGGCACCATTCACTCTCAAAATGAGACACACTGGGTATTGAAGTTCATATCCGTTATACAAGGACCCATTATTGCAATGTGTTACAGTATCCTTCTCTTTTACCATGCAGCTATGTTGGAAATGTTGAGATTAATGTGGAGGTGAAGAGGTATTTCTGCAAAGCAGGAGTGAAGGGAATACAGGTATGTTTTATCTTCTCTCTAGTCTATGATAAGGCTGTGGGATATTATGGAAAATAGGGAGAGAAAGAATGTATTGACAAAATAAAGAGAGAAAGGGAGTGGCATGAAGAGATGTTGTTCCCACTTTAAAGTAAGGTACCCATAAGACTGGAATTAACAGGGTTTTAGTCATTTAGAAATGCCATCTCTTTATTTTTCATATATAAACAAATAATTCACAATCTATAAAGTACTTATAAACCCTTAATATACCCTTAATAGACCCTTAATATACCCTTAATATACCCTTAATAGACCCTTAATAGACCCTTTGTAAACCTTTTATCAACCTTTTATCATTGTTGCCATTCATTTTATATTAATGTATCCATATTCCCGCCTCTTTCAGCTGCATGGGATGATGAGGGTGATTCTAGAGCCTCTGATTGGAGATGTCCCCATCGTGGGCGCGGTCACCATGTTCTTCATCCGCAGGCCGGTGGGTAGCTGGGACCATCCCTCTCTTTCCTCCACACCTCCCATAAGTCTGTCGATCTCTCCCTTCCTATCGCCTTTCCCCCCAACACTACTATCGTCCAATCCCGGTTACCAATCCCGGTTACAATCCATGCCTCCATTTGTTTACGTACTTCTCTCTCTCTTTCTCTTTGTATTGAATGTCCTGAACCCCAACATTTGCTCCTCTGTTTTTCCCTCATCTCCTCACCCCTGTCCTGCAGAAACTGGACATCAACTGGACTGGATTGACCAACTTACTGGACATCCCTGGCCTGAAGTGAGTGAGGTTGACTCTGTCTGTTTAGTGTTCTGTAATTGGAGTTACTATGTCATGTGATGATAATTCACTTCATATAACACTGTAACACAAAATTATACTTCACTACACCAGATGATACCATCAACGCTGTGCTACAGTGAGGGAAAAAAGTATTTGATCCCCTGCTGATTTTGTACGATTGCCCACTGACAAAGACATGATCAGTCTATAATTTTAATGGTAGGTTTATTTGAACAGTGAGAGACAGAATAATAACAACAAAATCCAGAAAAACGCATTGTCAAAAATGTTATAAATTGATTTGCATTTAAATGAGGGAAATAAGTATTTGACCCCCTCTCAATCAGAAAGATTTCTGGCTCCCAGGTGTCTTTTATACAGGTAACGAGCTGAGATTAGGAGCACACTCTTAAAGGGAGTGCTCCTAATCTCAGCTTGTTACCTGTATAAAAGACACCTGTCCACAGAAGCAATCAATCAATCAGATTCCAAACTCTCCACCATGGCCAATACCAAAGAGCTCTCCAAGGATGTCAGGGACAAGATGTTATAAATGTTATAGATTGATTTGCATTTTAATTAGGGAAATAAGTATTTGACCCCTCTGCAAAACATGACTTAGTACTTGGTTGCAAAACCCTTGTTGGCAATCACAGAGGTCAGACGTTTCTTGTAGTTGGCCACCAGGTTTGCACACATCTCAGGAGGGATTTTGTCCCACTCCTCTTTGCAGATCTTCTCCAAGTCATTAAGGTTTCGAGGCTGACGTTTGGCAGCTCCCTCCACAGATTTTCTATGGGATTAAGGTCTGGAGACTGGCTAGGCCACTCCAGGACCTTAATGTGCTTCTTCTTGAGCCACTCCTTTGTTGCCTTGGCTGTGTGTTTTGGGTTATTGTCATGCTGGAATACCCATCCACGACCCATTTTCAATGCCCTGGCTGAGGGAAGGAGGTTCTCACCCAAGATTTGACGGTACATGGCCCTGTCCATCGTCCCTTTGATGCGGTGAAGTTGTCCTGTCCCCTTAGCAGAAAAACACCCCCAAAGCATAATGTTTCCACCTCCATGTTTGACGGTGGGGATGGTGTTCTTGGGGTCATAGGCAGCATTCCTCCTCCTCCAAACATGGCGAGTTGAGTTGATGCCAAAGAGCTCAATTTTGGTCTCATCTGACCACAACACTTTCACCCAGTTCTCTGAATCATTCAGATGTTCATGGGCAAACTTCAGATGGGCCTGTATGTGTGCTTTCTTGAGCAGGGGGACCTTGCGGGCGCTGCAGGATTTCAGTCCTTCATGGCGTAGTGTGTTACCAATTGTTTTCTTGGTGACTATGGTCCCAGCTGCCTTGAGATCATTGACAAGATCCTCCCGTGTAGTTCTGGGCTGATTCCTCACCGTTCTCATGATCATTGCAACTCCACGAGGTGAGATCTTGCATGGAGCCCCAGGCCGAGGGAGATTGACAGGCCTTTTGTGTTTCTTCCATTTGCGAATAATCGCACCAACTGTTGTCACCTTCTCACCAAGCTGCTTGGCGATGGTCTTGTAGCCCATTCCAGCCTTGTGTAGGTCTACAATCTTGTCCCTGACATCCTTGGAGAGCTCTTTGGTCTTGGCCATGGTGGAGAGTTTGGAATCTGATTGATTGATTGCTTCTGTGGACAGGTGTCTTTTATACAGGTAACAAACTGAGATTAGGAGCACTCCCTTTAAGAGTGTGCTCCTAATCTCAGCTCGTTACCTGTATAAAAGACACCTGGGAGCCAGAAATCTTTCTGATTGAGAGGGGGTCAAATACTTATTTCCCTCATTAAAATGCAAATCAATTTATAACATTTTTGACATGCGTTTTTCTGGATTCTGTCTCCCACTGTTCAAATAAACCTACCATTAAAATTATAGACTGATCATTTCTTTGTCAGTGGGCAAACGTACAAAATCAGCATGGCATCAAATACTTTTTTCCCTCACTGTATGATGTGATATGCCACCTGACCAGGCTGTATAATGCTATACTACTGTATGTCTGTGTACTTCCGTATATATGAAGTCGAGTGCTCCCTCTCCGCTGTGTTTCTCAGCATCATGTCTGACACTATGATAATGGACACCATCGCCTCATTCCTGGTTTTGCCCAACCGTCTGACCGTTCCCCTGGTAGCTGACCTGCACGTTGCCCAGCTACGCTCTCCTCTGCCCAGGGTGAGACCACACACTCCACAAACACTCTCCACAAACACTCTCCAACAAACTTTTTTCTATGTACTCAGAGATCCGTTATTAGCATGTTTTAACCACTCTCATAAAAATGATAGATTATCAGATACTCAGCAAGAAGGTCTGATTTCACTATTATTGAAACAGGACCCAAGTGGAAAATATAAATATCCAGTCCTCCTAAAAAAACTGGAAACCCCTTACACTTCAGTGTTGTGATACAAAAATTCTAGCAAAATGCATAGCGCATAGAATAAAAAAGTTATAACCGGGCCTGGTTATTCATAGCTGATTTTTTAAAGGCTTATAGTAAATAGTAAATAATGGCTACTTCTCAGAAAGTATTAAACTGTCAAGAGAAAGTAAAACAAGGTTGTCCACTATCAGCATATCTATTTATTATGGCCATCAAAATGTTAGCTACTAAAATCAGATCCAACAATAATATCAAGGGGCTAGAAATCCAAGGCTTAAAAACAAAGGTATCATTGTATGCCGACGTCTCATGTTTTCTTTTAAATCCTCAATCTGGATCCCTGCACAGCCTCATAGAAGATCTAGATAATTTCTCTAACCTCTCTGGATTACAACCGAACTATGATAAGTGTACCATATTACCTGTTAAACGGGCCTATTTATACACTGAACAAAAATATAAGTGCAACATGTAAAGTGTTGGTCCCATGTTTCATGAGCTGAAATAAAAGATCCCTGAAATGTTTCATAAGCACAAAAAACATATTCTTATTCTTTGCACAAATTTGTTTACATCCCTGTTAGTGAGCATTTCTCCTTTGCCAAGATAATCCATCCACCTGACAGATTATGCCACAGATGTCTCAAGTTTTGAGGGAGCGTGCAATTGACATGATGACTGCAGGAATGTCCACTAGAACTGTTGCCAGAGAATTGAATGTTAATTTCTTTATCATAAGCCGCCTCCAATGTTCTTTTAGAGAATTTGGCAGTACGTCCAATCGACCTCACAACTGCAGACCACGTGTATGGCGTCATGTGGGCGAGCGGTTTGCTGATGTCAACATTGTGAACAAAGTGCCCCATGGTGGGGTTATGGTATGGGCAGGCATAAGCTACGGACAACGAACACAATTGCATTTTATCTATGGCAATTTGATTGCACAGAAATACCGTGACAAGATCCTGAGGCCCATTATGAGGCCCATTTTCTTTAAGGCATCTGTGACCAACAGATGCATATCTGTATTCCTAGTCATGTGAAATCCATCGATTGGGGCCTAATGAATTTATTTCAATTGTCTGATTTCCTCATATGAACTGTAATATATTAAAGCATTGAACCTCTCCCTAAAGGCTTCAGTCATACATAAATTATATTTAAATCCGAACTGGTTCTCTACGAGATTAGTAAGAATGGCTCACCCCTTTTTCCTTTTATTCAGATTACAACCTCTGACTTTCGGTTATTTGAAAATGAAATAATCTCCAAAATATTGTTATTTGTAAAACAAGCCATAGAAAGCTGGTTGCAATCTCAGTTTCATCCACCAGAAAAGACAGAACAAATATTACAACAAATATGATGTTAAACTCAAATATACCCTATTGGTAAAAAAACATTATTTGTGACTTGTTTCAGGAAACTAGGCATATGTTGCGCATCACTACATCACAGAAGAGCCATTTGAACGTGAACATTGTTTATTTATAAAAATTCGTTTTTTGGCAGAAATGCCTTCTGGAACATGTGAACTTTCATGTGCCTTAATAACAAATTTGTATGCCATCTGTAAATACGAATAAAAGTGTTAAATTATGAGCCTAGTTGGTTTAGCCACGGAAAAAGACAGCAACCTTCCTGCTAGCCATGATTGGCTGAGATAATGAGTGGACTGGACATGCCCAGAGATGAGTACGGATTGGTCTGCCATGTAGCGCGCTTCTGTCTATAACATGAGCTGGTCAGTATGTGTAGGTAATCCTTTCTAACACTGCTTTTTTTTAAAGATATCACATAGTAAAACTGCATAAGTTTTGAGTTTTGAAATCAGTGGAATTAGAGTATGATAAGGAGATGGAGAAAATTCAGGCATTTGATTGCAAATATGCAGACGGAGTCGAAAAGAGAACACACAGAAGGCTGTTACATCTTCAAACTAAGGGCATCCATGACAGAGAGGGAGATGTGTCCATCCATGTATACGGGCAAGATAGTCTAGCTAGCTACATTTTCAGATATTACACGTTTCTAATTTTGTCAGAAAGTTGTTTTCATTTCAAGTTAAAGTGTACTGTTAGCTAACTAGCTAACATTAGCTGTCTGGCTCGCTAGCTAACGTTACATGTATGATCTGTGTAGTAATATTATTCGTATCTCAGAGCCATTTGCATGGCTAGTTATATTCTAATGTTAGCTAGCTAACATTGAACCTGGTTGGTTAGCTACCTGCAGATTCATGCAGGGTAGTAACTTCATGAGTTGGGATTATGGTTCATTGTTTAGCTAGCTACATTACCAGTCAAAGGTTTGGACATACCTACTCATTCAAGGGTTTTTCTTTATTTAAAAAAAAAAATTATATTGTAGAATAATAGTGAAGACATCAAAACTATGAAATAACACATATGGAATCATGTAGTAACCAAAAAAGTGTTAAACAAATCAAAAAATATTTTATATTTGAGATTCTTCAAATAGCCACCTTTGCCTTGATGACAGCTTTGCATACTCTTGGCATTCTCTCAACCAGCTTTATGAGGTAGGCACCTGGAATGTATTTCAATTAATAGGTGTGCCTTCTTAAAAGTTAATTTGTGGAATTTATTTCCTTCTTAATGTGTTTGAGCCAATCAGTTGGGTTGTGACAAGGTAGGGGAGATATACAGAAGATAGCCCTATTTGGTAAAAGACCAAGTCCATATTATGGCAAGAACAGCAATAGGCAAAGAGAAATGACAGTCCATCATTACTTTAAGACATGAAGGTCAGTCAATACGGAAAATGACAAGAACTTTGAAAGTTTCTTCAAGTGCAGTCGCAAAAACCATCAAGCCCTATGATGAAACTGGCTCTCATGAGGAACGCCACAGGAATGGAAGACCCAGAGTTACCTCTGCTGCAGAGGATAAGTTCATTAGAGTTACCAGCCTCAGAAATTGCAGCCCAAATAAATGCTTCACAGAGTTCGTCACAGAAACATCTCAACATCAACTGTTCAGAGGGGACTGTGTGAATCAGGCCTTCATGGTCGAATTGCTGCAAAGAAACCACTACTAAAGGACACCAATAAGAAGAAGAGACCTGCTTGGTCCAAGAAACACGAGCAATGGACATTACACCGGTGGAAATTTGTTCTTTGGTCTGGAGTCCACATTTATTTTACCAAGAAGGAGATTGATGGAGTGCTGCATCAGATGACCTGGCCTCCACAATCCCCCGACCTCAACCCAATTGAGATGGTTTGGGATGAGTCGGACGGCAGAGTGAAGGAAAAGCAGCCAACAAGTGCTCAGCATACAGTTGAAGTCGGAAGTTTACATACACTTAGGTTGGAGTCATTAAAACTAGTTTTTCAACCAATGCACACATTTCTTGTTAACAAACTATAGTTTTGGCAAGTCGGTTAGGACATCTACTTTGTGCATGACACAAGTAATTTTTCCAACAATTGTTTACAGACAGATTATTTCACTTATAATTCACTGTATAGATGGCGCCGGAGAAGATGGCTGCCGTTTTACAGCCCTCTAACCAATTGTACTATTATGTGTGTTTTTTAACGTTATTTGTAATTTATTCTGTACATAATGTTTCTGCCATCGTCTCTTATAACCAAAAATAGCTTCTGGATATCAGGACAGCGATTACTCCCCTCGTATTGGACTAAGATTTTTTCTTCAACGAGTCGGACGCGAAGGATATCCTACAGACACCCGACAAGGCCCAAATCCCCGTCATTCGCAGGAGAAAGAGACGGAAATATCGTGGACGTAGGTCGGGGTGCCTTGTAAGGATCCAACGGCGAGAGAGTAAACTGCCTCTTCCATCAATCCTATTAGCCAATGGTCAATCATTTGAAAATAAGTTAGATGACCTAATATTACGGTTATCCTACCAACGGGACATTAAAAACTGTAATATCTTATGTTTCACCGAGTCGTGGCTGAACGACGACATGGACAACATACAGCTGACAGGATATACGCTACATCGGCAGGATAGAACAGCTGTCTCCGGTAAGACAAGGGGTGGCGGTCTGTGTATATTTGTAAACAACAGCTGGTTCACAAAATCAAATACTAAGGAAGTCTCGAGGTTTTGCTCGCCTGAGGTAGAGTATCTTATGATAAGCTGTAGACCACACTATTTACCAAGAGAGTTTTCATCTATATTTTTCATAGCTGTCTATTTACCACCACAAACCAATGCTGGCATTAAGATTGCACTCAATGAGCTGTATAAGGCCATAACTAAACAGGGAAACACTCATCCAGAGGCAGCGCTCCTAGTGGCCGGGGACTTTAATGCAGGGAAACTTAAATCCGTTCTACCTAATTTCTACCAGTATGTTAAATATGCAACCAGAGGGGAAAAAAACTCTAGACCACCTTTACTCCACACACAGAGACGCATACAAAGCTCTCCCTCGCCCTCCATTTGGCCAATCTGACCATAACTCTATCCTCCTGATTCTAAAAACTAAAGCAGGAAGCACCAGTGACTTGGTTAATAAAAAAGTGGTCAGATGACGCAGATGCTAAGCTACAGGACTGTTTTGCTAGCACAGACTGGAACATGTTCCGGGATTCTTCAGATAGCATTGAGGAGTACACCACATCAGTCACTGGCTTCATCATTAAGTGCATCGATGACGTCGTCCCCACAGTGACCGTACGTACATACCCCAACCAGAAGCCATGGATTACAGGCAACATCTGCACTGAGCTAAAGGGTAGAGCTG